TTGTCGTTCACATCAAGCACGCGAACAATAATGCTGGCTGTACCTGTGCGCGTGGGCACCCCACCGTCCACAGCGGTCAGAATCAGATTATGAACAGCCTGCTGTTCTCTGTCCAGAGTCTTTTTCAGAACCAAATCAGCAAACTTCGTTCCGTCTCTCCCGGTCTGAATTTCAATAGCAAAATTATCACTTGCGCTCAGATGGTAGTTTTTTACAGAATTCGTTCCAACATCCGGGTCAGCAGCGTTGTTCAGGGAGAATCTCTCTCCAACAGGGCTCGACTCTGAGATGTCTAAATGCATCGTTCCTCTACGAAAATGAGGAGCGTTATCGTTTATGTCCAATATTTCAACCTCTATGTTAAACATGCGCACAGGGTTTTCAATGGTTGCGTCTATTCTTAGGAAACAGGACGTGGTTGTCTTGAGAGGACAAAGAAACTCCCTGTCAATCCTTTCCAAAATAAAAAGCTCCCCCGTGTCTTTGTTAATATCAAGATATTTCTTGTTGCCCACCACGTCCACCCGCATTTTTCTTTTGCTCAGACTCCTTACATCTAATCCCAAATCAGCCGCTAAATTCGCAACAACGGACCCTTCATCCATTTCCTCCGGAACGGAATAATGAGTTACCGTTCTTGCCGTGTCCAGGATGGAAGAAAAACAGAGCAACACTGCGACATACCTCTTCCACGCAAAACAAACAGGTTGGCGAGCCATTGTCATTAATCCGTCTTCAAAGCCCTATACTTGATATTTCGTGGTGTATCTGTACCAAATGTAAACGAGATTTTAAATAAACGACTCCTTTTCGTAGCACAGTTGTGAAAGGAATGACTCCTTTCACGGCTTCCAAAGAACTGTCGTGAAAACGATGACTTCACCACTGCTTTCTTTTCTTGGAGAGCAGCGACATGAACGGCTTATTTTAAAAATTGTATCGTTACAGAGTAGACGGAAAGAAAAACCGGTTTAAATAGGTTTTAATATTTTTCAGTTATTTTTCAAAATATTTTACAACCTCTTCAATGTTTAATTCATAATTTTCATGTTTTCTTTATTATATTCTAACGTGTTATTTTTCATGTTCGTACAAATACATCCTTGGGTCATGCGTTTTCTTTCCTGTCTTGTTTGTACATTTAAACGATTTATCACTTAATGCACAACCAAAAAGAATTAAATAAAAGATGGTGCAAGGACGCATGTTAAGTTTTTTTAGTAGGTTCGTCTTTTTGGTTTTCTTTGTTTTTTATTGTTTTATGACCAAGTCTGAATGTAGTGTAGCAGGAGTTAAATACTTTGTAGAGAGCATTACATTTATTGATGACAAAACTGATCAGAAAATATGTCTTAAGCATATTTTATAGATATATAGCAAAACCTAAAAGGTCAAAAACACAAAGACTCTACAGGACATTAAGATCTACAACTGGTAAAGTAAGTGACACTGGTTATTTAGAAGGTATCTGATAATAAACAAGGTAATATCTATGTTGAAATTGGGATTTTTTTTATTTTAATAGAGCTTTTATTCGTGCAACATTTTATTATGACATTACTTATAGGGAAGGTAATTCCATTCTCTGTGAAATTAGAAATTAACCTTTAAAGTTTATGAAAACAATCTGACTTTAATATTTTCACTAATATTTGTCTTACCTGCAGAGTGGAAGCAGCTGAGTCACTAGTCTCTGACAGTCCTGTCCCTCTCGGGATGCTGGACACGATGTATCTGGAGCCCTTTGGCACAGGCTGTCTCACCACCAGCTTTCCTTTCCTGGTCTCTGCTAGAAACAGACTGTACCAGTAGGCATCGTTGGACACCAGAGTGGAGTCTGCGATGGTGGAGTTCCTCTCACTGATCACACTGTTCCTGCTGGGAGGAGCGGTTTTGCTGGGCTTGGATTTCTGACACTTCAGCACGATG